TGTCGGAGGATCAGTACTGAGGGAGCACCATGTTTTCAGAGGGTCAGTACATTCCCGAATTATTTAAGAAAAATCAGACAAATCAGCCATGATCTTATTGAATGGTGGAACAGGCTTGAGGAGCCATATGGCCTACTCCTGGTCCTAATTTCTGTGTTCAATTAAATACAAATTATGTCTTTTCTCTGGTTACATCAGGTTTTATTTATCCTGTCTTATTTTATACTTAGTGAAGATTGAGTTGATTTATTCATTCCCTTCCGGACCTTACCAACCTTTCATTTTTTTCATACTAGTCAGAAGTCACACAACACCAGATTATAGTCGAACAGGCTTGTTTGAAATCACAAGCTTTTGGAGCCTCCCTCCTTCATCAGGTGATGTGGATAGAAGCACACAGGACTGGAGTATATAGTTGGAGAGATAATGGCACGTCTGTGCCTGTATGCTTCCTTCACTTCACCTGACGAAGGAGCAGCATTTCAAAACCTTGTGATTTCAAACAGACCTGTTGGACTATGACCTGGTGTTGTGTGACTTCTGACCTTGTCCATCCCAGTCCAACAGCATGCAGCACCTCCACATTATTTTTCATACACGTGTTTAATTGGAGCAAGCTTCTGAACCATCTGTATGTAAGAGGAATGCTAACTATTTGCCATGTGTTTCTACTGATTAAATACTCAAAAACTAGCCACTGATGATTGTTATCTTTCCCTCTAGGGAGATTTTGGGACTCAGAAGGAAGCAGCCTGGGCCATCAGTAACCTGACAATTAGTGGGAGAAAGGAACAGGTAACTGCACCTTTTAGTTACACTGAAGCAGTCAGTGCGTTTCAGATACAAAAACATATTTTAATTTTGAACATTAGCCTTGGGTTCTGGATTACTAGCCCAGTGACATTGCCACTATGCCACCAACTCCCCATATAGATATGGATATCTCTTACTTTAAGAGTTTTTTACTTGTTGCCTTCCAGGTTGAATATCTCGTACAGCAGAATGTTATCCCTCCTTTCTGTAAATTGCTTGGTGTGAAGGATCCTCAGGTGATTCAGGTGGTTCTTGATGGTCTAAATAACATTCTGAAAGTGGCTGGTTCTGACACGAATACTTTAGTTGAAATGATAGAGGAATGTGGAGGTAAGTGTAGTGCTTCTAGTATCACCTGTTGAAGATCAAACTGTATCTCAAGACTAAAATGTTAAACTCCCTTAAACTTCCCAGGACTTGAAAAGATTGAAGCTTTGCAGCAGCATGAGAATGAGGACATCTATAAGCTTGCCTTTGAGATCATCGACCACTACTTTTGTGGCGAGGAGGTGAGAAAGTTTATAATCATTGCGTCATCTCCTGGAGAAGTTGTGCTCATTAAACTTGCTAATTGTACAGGTACATACGAATAAACAGGGACGGATCAGGAGAAGACTATACTGCCTTGCAACCCTGCTGTCATTTAATAAGATCATGACTGATCTGATTGTAACCTTTAGACCACATTATCTACTCCTGATAGCCTTTCACCCCTTTAGCAAGCAACTATCCTCCTCTGCCTTAAAAACATTCAAAGGCTCTGCTACCTCCCTTTTCAGGAAGAGTTCCAAAGACTCACGATCTTCTAAGGGACAAAAATTTATTCTCATCTCTGTTTTACATGGGTGATCTGTTATTTTCAAACAGTGACCCCTAGTTCTAGATTCCCCTACAAGAGGAAATATCCTGGGCCATAGGGTGTAGATGCAGAACTAAGCTATTCAATCCATTAAGTTTTTCCATCATTTAATGAGATCGTGGCTGATTTAATAATACTCAACTCCACTTGTCTGCCTTCACCCCATAATCTTTGATTCCCCCACTGATTAAAAATCTGTCTGCATCAGCCCTGAATACACCTAATGACCCAGGTTCAGCAATCCTCTGGGGAGGTGATGGCCTAGTGGCATTATCGCTGGACTGCTAATACAGAGACGCAGATAACATTCTGGGGACCCAGCTTCGAATCCTGCCATGGCAGCTGGTGGAATTTGAATTCAATAAAATATCTAGAATTAAGAATCTAATGATGACCGTGGATCTATTATCGGGAAAACCTAATTTGGTTCGCTAATGTCCTTTGGGGAAGGAAACTGCCATCCTTACCTGGTTTGGGCCTACATGTGACTCCAGACCCACAGCAATGTGGTTGACTCTGAACTGCCCTCTCGGCAATTAGGGATGGGCAATAAATGCTGCCTAGCCAGCGACACCCTCATCCCATTAATGAATAAAGGAAAAAACCCTCTATGGTAAAGCATTCCACTGATTCACTACCCTCTGAGAGAAGAAGTGACTGACTGTGAATTTACAAAATCTCTGGAGATCAGTCAAAGAAAAACAGGCAGTGCAGTGACCTTGGGAGACCTCATGATTGGAACTATACACACCAGCTGGGAGTGATTAGTGACAATTTCAGAGCCTGATCAGCTAAGTGTTTGATTTTAAGACTTATAAAACTTTTGAATCTTAATTTTCCTTAGTAAATCTATAATAGTGAGTAAGGTGAGGGCAGTTTCTTGTTTTACCGAGGTCCGTTTCTTGATTAAATTTTTAATATTAAGTTATCCCAGAGCTGTGTTTTTGAGTAGTAAGGCTGTGCTAAAGCTGAGTTTTTGAAAAAGTGCGTTGTGTTTGATTTTTGGGTATATTCTGGGTCTGTAGACTATTAACTTGCAAAGATGGCCTTTAATAGAATGATCTGCTCTTCCTGTCGGATGTGGGAGATTAGGGAACATTTCCATGTTACTGATGATTATGGTGCACGAAGAGTGTTTGGTTGCGAATCCTATTGGATCACATGGATCGGTTAGAGCAGCAGTTAGAGGCAGTGATAATTTACAGGAGCCAGGGGTATAAAGGATGACAGGTACAGTCAGGTAGATGGGTTATAGCTAGGTGAGGTAGGCAGGTAGTGCAGGAATTTCCTGTGGCTATCTCCATCTCAAACAAATATGCTGTTTTGGATACTGTGGGAGTGATGGTCTCTCGGGGGAACATTGCACTGACAGCCAAGTTTCTGGTATCATGACTGGCTGTACTGTAATGCGGGGTATGTCAGGTTCCATGCAATCGATTGTGATAGGGGACTGTCTAATCAGCCATGTAGACAGACATTTCTGCGGCCAACAGCAAGATATCAAAATGGTGCATTGCCTCCCTGGGATCAAGGATGTCTTGGAGAGGGTGCAGAATATTCTCAAAGGAGAGTGACCAGCAGAAGATTGTGGTACACGTTGGTACCAACGACAAGAAAAGTATGAGGTTCTGCAGAGAGAATATAGGAAACTAGGCAGGCGGTTAAAAAGTAGGTCTTCAAGAGTAGTAATATCTGGATTACTCCCAATGCCATATGCTAGTGAGAGTAGGAATGGGAGGATAGAGCAGGTGAATGCATAGCTGAGGAGCTAGTGCAGGAGGCAGGGATACACACTTTTGGATCATTGGGATCTGTTCTGGGGTAGAAGTGACCTGTATAAGAAGGACAGGTTGCACCTGAATTGGAAGGCGACCAATATCTTGGTGGGGAGATTTGCTAGTGCTATTCAGGAGGCTTTAAGCTAGTAAGAGAGAGTGAGGAAAGAGATAATTCTCAGACTGGTACAGTAGAGAAGAGGAGCAAGGCAAGCAAGAGCAAAGCAGAGTTAAACTGAATTTATTTCAATGCAAGAGACTTGACAGGTAAGTCAGATGAACTCAGGACATGGTTGGGAGCATAGGACTGGAATATCATAACTATTATAGAAATGTGGCTCATGGAGAGATAGGACTGGCAGCTTAATGTTCCAGGGTATAGATGCTATAGGAAGGATAGAAAGAGTGGGCAAGAGATAAGGGAGAGTGGCATTTTGAGTTAAAGATAACATTACGGCTGTACTTAGGGAGGATATTCCTGGGTGAATGTCCAGTGGAGTTAGATCTTAGAAATAAGAAAGGGATGATCACCTTTTTGGGATTGTACTATAACCACCCCAGTAGTCAGCAGGAAATTGAGAAGCAAATATATAAGAGATCTCAGATATCTGTAAGAATAATAGGGCTATAATGATAGGGGATTTTAACTTTCCAAACATAGACTGGAACTGCCAGAGTGTTAGGGGCTTGGATGGAGAGGAATTTGTTAAGTGTGTACAAGAAAACTTTCTTATTCAGTTTAAGGATGTACCTACCAGGGAAGGAACAAAAGTTGATCTTCTCTTGGTAAATAGAGCAAGTGACTGAGGGTGGGGGGACACTTTGTGATTTTAAAATAGTTGTGGAAAGGGATAGACCTGATCTAAAAGTTACCACCTTAGAACATAGAACATAGAACAATAATGGCATCATATAAAATAATGGTACCATATTAGCCACCTCACTTTTGAGGTGAGAGGAGGGAGATTTAAAAAAGACATAAGAGGCAAATTTTTTACACAGGGTGGTTCATGTGTGGAATGAACTTCCTGAGGAAGTGGTGGATGAGGGTACAATTACAATGTTTAAAAGACATTTGGATAGATATATGAATAAGAAAGGTTTGGAGGGATATGGGCCAGGAGAAGGCAGTTGGGACTAGTTTAATTTGGGATTATGTTCGGCATGACTGGTTGGACTGAAGGGTGTGTTTCTGTGCTGTATGACTATATGACTCTATAACTTTCAAAGCTTATTGTGTGCTTCTCTCTCACTTTACCTGACGAAGGGGCTACGCTCCGAAAGCTTGTGATTTCAAATAAACCTGTTGGACTATAACCTGGTGTCGTGTGACTTCTGACATTTAAAAGGCATCTGGATGAGTACATGAATAGGAAGTGTTTAGAGGTATATGGGCCAAATTCTGGCAACTGGGACTAGAGCAGTTAAGGATATCTGGTGGCATGGATGAGTTGGACTGAAGAGTCAGTTCCTTTGCTGTATGACTCTATAACACGATAAGAAATTCTTCATCTTCTTCTTAATTGGATGACTTCTTATCCTATTTCCTCTGAAATGGGAAACAACCTCTTTGCACCTACCCTGTCAAGTCACCTAAGAATCTTTATATCTTTCATTCTTCTAAATTCCAATGAGTGTAGCCAACCTTCTGCGTTTGGGTAGGACAAACAAGGCAATGGAATACATGATGAATGGTAGGATTCTGAGAGATCTTGTTGTACATGTCCAGTGGTTCTTTAACGTGTCAGGAGAGGTGAATAAAGTGGCTAAAAAAGCTTATTGGATACTTGCTTTTATTGGTCGAGACAGAGTTTAAGAGCAGGGAGGTGACGCTGAACTTATGAAATGTTGGACTATTATGTTCAGTTCTGGAATCCACATTATGGGATATATGTGATTAATGTTGGAGGAAGATACAGAGGGGATTTACCGGGATGTTGCCTGGGCTGGAGAGTTTAAGGTATGAAGAGAGATTCTATAGACTGGGATTGTTTTCCTTGGAGCAGAGGAGGCTGAAGCGGGAACATGATTGAGATGTATAAAATTATGAGGATCATAGACAGGATAAACAGGAAGAAACCTTTCCCTTGGAATGATGCATGTCCAGGGGTCATAGTTTTAAGGTAAAGGGCAGAAGTTTTAGTGGAGATCTGAGGAAAATACTTTTCAACCCAAGGGTGGTGGGAATCTGGAATTCACTGCCTGTGAGGTTAGTAGAGGCAGACACCCTCATAAACATTTACGAAGTATTTAGGTGTATACTTGCAGTGCCAAGGCATATAATGCTGTGGACCAAGTGCTGGAAACTGGGATTAAAATAGTTAGACAGTTGTTTTTGACCAGCACAGGCTTGATAGGCCAAAGGGCCTTTTTCTGTGCTGTAGACCTCTGTGACCATAAGCTTTCCTCATAAGAAAATCTCAAAACACAGGATCAACAAAGGGAATTTTCTCTTGGCTGCCTCCAATACAAGTTTATCTCTCTTCAGATAAGCAGCCCAAAACTGTTCATAGTATTCCAGCTGTGGTCTGACTGGTGCCTTGTATAGGTTTAGCAACGCCTCTCTATTTTTATATTCCATTCCTTTGAAATAAAGGCACTCCATTTGCCTGCCCTTGTACCTACTGACCTTGGATGCTACCTTTTTGTGATTCATGCACAATGACTCACAAATTATTCTGTGTGGCAGCTTTCTGCAGTCTTTCTCCATTTCAATAATATTTATCTCCTCTACTCTTCCTGCATCGAATCTGTCAAGTTTCCTCAGGGTCTCTTATGTTTCAATTAAGTCGGCTTGTACTCTTCTAAACTCCAGCGGATACAAACCTACCCTGTCCATATGTTCCTCATAAGACAATGATCTTATTCCAGGTAT